GAGGTGTATGGTGATTGGGAGGACACGTATGCTTTACTCCCTAGACTTATGTCCGCAATGGAGGAGTTCAACCCTGGGACTGTTTTCATGCCTTGTTACAACAATGTATACACTGTGGATCAAGTTCGAGTACAGGAAAATTTGATGTTTCACCGTCTATTTTGGGCTTTCAAACCATGCATTGACGGGTTTGCGTTCTGCATACCAGTTATCCAGGATCAACTTCCGCCATCTCTCCCTCCTCCTTCTTGGCGGGCTCGTTGAACGACTGGTCGCAGATTTCTCTTAACCCGAGCCCCAATTGGAGTCTGTATAGGTGGTGGAGGTAGCGGTGGTTGAGATGGACCAGTACTCGGGTGGTAGATCGGTACCTGAGGGGTTTGTTGCTGCAGGGTATGATACATCGGAGTCTGTTGCTGATGGTGGAATTGAGGGAACCCTTGGGGGAAAATGTCCAATTCCTGAGATGAAGCGTAGCTTGATGACCCTCCAGCGACCTCCGTTGTAGATGCCCAATCGTATTCAAATGGTTCAGGAAGTTCGGTTTCTTGAGTTGTACGCAGCTCTTGAAATTGTGGCAGAGGCTTGCGTTTGCTCTTTCGTGGGGGCTCAACCGCAGGCACAATGCGCTCACCATCACGGAATGATGGGCGGGTCGGGGGCATGAAGTGGAGGATATGCCACGACATCCCTCCTTTGCTCTCTGGTACAACTCAGGAGGTTGTTCATAAGCCTTCGCAATCAAGAAGTCTTGCGCTCATCCATGGTTGGAGCACTATCGACCATGTGTTTGGCGTGTTCCAAACCATCAACCTAAGTAATTTACGTAATAAATCAAAATTAATTAAACCCTAAAACAATAGAATTAGATTACGAGGGAGACTTAGGATGACTTACCAACGAACCCATCACAACACCTTGCGTTGACACCCATCTAAGTGTAAACTTCTGATACCACTGCATGTACCCATCGTGGTAACCCATAGGTCTCGTCTCCGACATCCCTTAGAATACCCAATTCCCTCTATTCTCTCAAATGTTGATGTAGAACTGATGCTTTAGAAGCCAATTCTTGGCCGAGTTTCGGAGGTCGATGGCATGGAGCTCCTTGAAACCTTGAGGTGGGGTTTGTGGAATTGATTGCTCCAATCGATATTGCCTCAAGGATCAATCAGGTAGGTGCCACTCCAAAATGTGCCCGCAGATCAATTTCACCTTGCACAACCACGTCTCGTGATCCTGGGGGTGTCTCAGATGATGCAGCTCGACTACTTCACGTGGAAATGGGTCCCATGTAACCTATACTCATTCATAATTTGCAATTAGCGACCAATTACATTCACAAAAAATTAATTCGTTAAAATATTGTAAAGCATGATTACCTGGTTCCACCAAGGCTTATCTAACTCAGCACGATAAAACAGTAAAGAGTGCTCAGGTTGATGGTTGTTTGTATTTGCTCCTGTCCACCTTGTAAGTAAAAGTACGGATATAAGAATTTTTTAAAGCATTGAATAAATTTAACTTTGGGCTAAGTGCAGAATAAATTTAAATTAAGCTAAGTACGGAATACATGTAATTGACTCGCATGAAACTACACCACAATAAAACCCCAACTAGAGCCCAAGTTTTTAAACTCTAGTCGGGTGCAGTATAGGCAAGTATTTAGATATCGACCCAGGATGGTCCGTCTACCCTAATTCGGTTGTTGAAATCATTATCTAGCAACAAAATTTTGGTTTAAAGGTTTGCTAAATGAAATAAAAGAATCAAAGGTAAATGGTTTTGCAAACTCTTTTGTGGAGGGATCACTCGGGTGTTGCTTCCCCCTAACCGCTACCATGGTATGCGAATTGGAACGATTGTTTTGGCACGGTAATTGCGAACCGCAGAGGGATGCATATATGGTCAGATACCATAATCTCAATTGCTAAATCGAGGTAAGCATGAAAGGCTGTTTCACTTGACCCTCTCGGTTTAGACAATCGGTAATCGACTTACTCCCTCACTCAACTCAAAGGTCGGACGGTTTGATGGCAATTAACCGATTTACTCAAGTCAACATTGAGGGTTGCCCTAACTTAACCGAGTTAGGTGGCTTAGAAAAAGCAGAAGGAAAACCAACTCGATTGAGTCTCCCTTGGAAGGGGGATTTTCCTCTCTAAGCTAGGCTAAGGTGGCTAATTAGATTTTTAGCACCAACATGCACAAACGTAAGGGTGCTAAGCACAATTATGCACAATCCTTAGGTTTCTAAGCACCTAAATGCACAAACCTAAAGATGCTAAGCACAAAACATGCACAACCGCTAGGTTGCTAAGCACAAGCATGCACAATCATGATAAATAATGCCTCAATCATTGAATTGAACAATACCCAATGACAATCATCCAATGCACATAAAAGAAAACTACATGGTAGAGTTAGGGTTTCACAACACCCAAGTGAAAGGAGGTCTACACCATGCTAGAAGTGAGGAAAACAAAAGGGAAAGAGGTGAAAACCATCTTGGAGGATGCTCCCAGTCTTCTTGGCCCTTGAGTTGAGCTTTCTTTGGAGGAAATCTTCCCAAAATCTACCTTGAAGCTAAACCCTAGCCTTCTTCTCCATTTGGTTCGTGTTTCTCTCTCTAGAATGTTGAAAAAGGCTTTTCACAAAAACTCTGCTCTCCCCTCTCTCCTCCATTCAGCTCATCATTTAAACCAGAGACGAGCTGAGTTCACGGCTGTGAACCACGAAACGCGTCCGTGAACTTCAGGCGTGCGCCAAAACGCGCCGCATCGTTCACTTCTGTTCATGATCAACTGCCATTGTTCACGGTCTTATACTCACCATGCGGTAGTAACCTTCATTTTGGCTCTGGAAGCCTCACGATTCACGGTTAAGGGCTCCTCTTCACGGTTTTGCATGACCGTGAACTTCCTGGGAAAGTCGTGAACTGGCCCTTTTTCACCTCTTCTCCCGGTTTTCAATCCTTTTCGCCCAACTTTCGACTCTGAGGCCAGTTTCACTTGTTGAATCCTGAAACACACTAAAACACGAGGAACATAGCGTAAAACCAACCTTTTAGGAGCGAAATTGGCATAAACACCTAAGTAAAACGGGGGCAAAACATGTACAATTAGACCCGAATCACTCCCTCACACTTAGACGTTTGCTTGTTCCCAAGTAAACGATTTTACACAAGGTGATATTTCAACCTACACAAATACTTTGGGGACAACTCAAAGGGCACAAAGTGGGAATTCTCAATGGCTATTGGCAATCAATACATGGACCGTTGCAAGCAATACTGACATCCACCACAAATGACATTCGAAGCCACCAAAAATGGGCAAACGAAAAGTTCTCACCTTGTTCATGGATCAATGCAAGTCGCAACAAGACCACTTATCAATCACAACCGACCATGCATGGAATTCAAGTCCGAGGAACAAATGGAAAGGCAACAAAGGTCCTCACCGGGGTATGATATGACATGCAAAGCAAGAATGAATCACTCACTCTCAAGACCAGTGGGGTCGGGACCTTTTTGGTGCAAAAGATGTGCACAATCATAAACTCTCGGCCGTATCGTCTCAATACCACGGCGGTAACCTCTAGATGTTAGAGTTCACAGGATGGTTGTCACCACTAGCTCGTCCGGAGGTCTTAGACACGGGTTCAGATGACTAGCAATTGTCTTGTACATGGGAAAAAGTCTTTTTGGGTGGTGGCAATCATGTCGTGAGGTTCTACATCTTCGACCTAGGTTTCGACTAAAACCTCTCTTTTCAACCCAAGGCCACTAGCATCGGCCAAAATCCTTATATCTCCTTTCCAAACTATCACCCATCGTGAACTACATCAAAGTGCTCTTCCTCGGTCTACCCTTGCTAGCACATTAAGGTTTGGTAGTGAAGGAGTTCTAAAACAATGTGGGGGTTTCGATGGCTTGGGTGCCAAGAAATCCCTCCTAGAGCATGTACTTTGATTTTTCGTGGCACTCTCTACTTTATTTGCCCCATTTTATTTCCTCTTTTTTGTTTCTCTTTTTTTTTCGAGAGGGTACTAGAGAGTAACAACACTTGCCACCTATACTTTTAACGACCAATGCTCTCCTTTTGAGGAACTAACTCCAACACTACACTTCATTTTTCTCAACCCTAGCAAGGACCACACACGAACCTCCTAGGTGAGAGCTTCGGGACACAAGGACGACTCATGTTTAGACACGAAGAAAGGATCGGGGTCATTCTATTAAGACCATTAAGCTCACACACATGAAACTCCTAAATCGAGAACGACCAACGAAGTCACACGGCTCAAAGGGGTTGACTAAAGGACGACACATTTCGGGACAATTAACATTTGGGCGTGGACTAATCCTATGACTTCATCATAGTTACTAATGACAACTTGTGATGCTACACACCATGGTAAGAGGGAACTATCACACCGGAAGAAAACGATCGGCTCAATACTCACAAGCTAACTAGTTAACCAACCATCTATTCCAATTCACAAACACGATGCATGGCAATTGTAAGCAATCAGTGATCAAGTCAAGACAACCATTCATTTATGCACGCCTGAGAACTAAACTTTTGCCCTATCCTAATGAACTTCTCAGTCATCATCATAGGATATACTCGATCACATGTAACAAGTTGAGATCAATGCCAATAAATACAAGAATTTCCCACCATCCAGCCACTTTGCTCATGCAAACATTGCTTGGAGCCCTCAAACTTTTGAAATTTGTGCATGCAAAAGGCTCCAAGCATTAATCACACTCACACAAGCATACCAGTAAACTACCCCCCCCCCCCACACACACACACACTTAAACTCGACATTGCCTTCAATGGCGTAAGAAAGGGGTAGAATGATGTTACCGCTTGGGCTTGGCGAGTGAAAGTTGGAATCAAACCGGGGTAGGATAATTGAGCTTCAAGGAGAGACAAAAAACACACACAAACACAACACGACTCGCTCGAGGCGAGGTTATTACAAGCACAATACATAGTAGTAGTTTATATCACAGACCCACAAAAACTGAAGAAAAATAACAAAAAAGAAAATAAAACAAGTTCAGGGTTACAAGTAGAGAAGTGGGGTGAAAGGACTCCGCTCTGCCACATGTGTCACTCGTCGGCTACCTTTCCTCGGTGGATGGACCCTCTCCAGAATCGGGTAGGATACCCTAGCGTCGAGCCATGAGCTCGAGGATGTCGGACTGCCTCTCGAGGCGGGATGAGAATCCCATGAAGCTCGTCTCTAGGTGATCCACCCTCTGGACGAGGGGATCGCTTGCTCCTAGTGGTGGTGGCTGCTGTGCAGGGCGCTGGAGCACTGGGCGGCGGCGACGGTTGGGTGCATGAGCAGGTGGATGCTTGGCCGCTGGTGGGACCTCGGGGTCATGTTCCACTAGAGCTGGTGCTACTGCAGCTCGGATGACACCGGAAGCGGAGGACGCAACAGCAGACATTGAGGCCGCTAAGGAAGAGAATCAGTGAGCCAGGGACAACCTTGGGGACAAGGTTTTTTTCGAAGGAAGCGGGGATGATGGAACCTCATATTTTTGGGGATTATTGTTAATTAAGCACCTAAATGCACAAATCTAAGGATGCTAAGCACAAAACATGCACAACCCCTAGGTTGCTAAGCACAAGCATGCACAATCATGATAAAATAATGCCTCAAGCATTGAATTGAACAATACCCAACGACAATCATCCAATACACATAAAAGAAAACTACATGCTAGAGTTAGGGTTTCACAACACCCAAGTGAAAGGAGGTCTACTCCATGCTAGAAGTGGGGAAAACAAAAGGGAAAGAGGTGGAAACCATCTTGGAGGATGCTCCCAGTCTTCTTGGCCCTTGAGTTAAGCTTTCCTTGGAGGAAATCTTCCCAAAATCTATCTTGAAGCTAAATCCTAGCCTTCTTCTCCCTTTGGTTCGTGTTTCTCTCTCTAAATGTTGAAGAAGGCTTTTCACACAAAATGTGCTCTCCCCTCTCTCCTCCTTTCAGCTCATCATTTAAACCAGAGACGAGCTGAGTTCACGGCCGTGAACCACGAAACACGTCCGTGAACTTCAGGCGTGCACAAAAACGTGCCGCATCATTCACTTCTGTTCACGGTCTTATAGACCGTGAACTCACCATGCGATAGTAAACTTCATTTGTGTTCTGGACGACTCGCGATTCACGGTCAAGGGCTCCTCTTCCTGGGAAAGCCGTGAACTGGCTCCTTTTCACCTCTTCTCCCGGTTTTCGATCCTTTTCGCCCAACTTTTGACTCCGAGGCTGGTTTCACCTGTTGAATCCTGTAACACACTAAAACACAAGGAATCTAGCGTAAAACCAAACTTTTAGGAGTGAAATTGGCACAAACATGTAAGTAAAACGGGGGCAAAACATGAACAATTAGACCCGAATCAGTAATTTAAATCTAGCTAAGCATGGGATAAATTTGCAATTAGGCTAAGTACGGAATAAATTTAAATCTAGCTAAGTATGGAATACATGTAATTTAAATCTAGCTAAGCATGGAATAAATTTGCAATTAGGCTAAGTACGGAATAAATTTAAATCTAGCTAAGTGGAATAAATGTAATGTAAATCTAGCTAAGCATGGAATAAATTTGCAATTAGGCTAAGTACGGAATAAATGTAATTTAAATCTAGCTAAACATGGAATAAATTTAAATCTAGCTAAGTATGGAATAAACTTACTTGACACCATAGAGGGGATTTTGCACATTTCGTAGCTCATCATCTGCTCTCCAGTATGGACGTGGGTTTTGAGGTGCAAACATTGGAAGATGCTCCCATACCCAGAGCTGGAGGATGAACATCGCACCACCAGCTTATTTCACTCACACCTTCGAGCAAGTACACAGCTCCCTATATAAGCCAGCTAACACAACCAATCCCCAACTCTTTTCCTCGATCGCGTCCCTGTCACCAAGGAGCATTGGCAACCATATGCATTGAATCCACCTATTTGACTTGTCGGGGAACAAAAATCCACCGACTAAACCAATGAGGTAGATGCGTGCATAGCGCTCCACTTGATCTTCCGGAGTGTCTGGGTCGATTTGAACCTCATTTTGGATGTGAGTAACGAGCCACAGGATTCAACGATGGATGCCCCCGTCCTTGAATTGGTGTGTTGGTCGCCATGTCAAAGCCCAAACGATCACGAATGAACGGCCCCCAACCTGCTTCGGGTTTGGTAGTGATACCAATGATGGCCTCTCCAGTTATCGGCAGCCCGGTGAGGATCGCGACGTCTTTGAGGGTGATCGTCATTTCCCCCTCCAAAAGGTGGAACGTATGGGTTTCGGGGCGCCATCGCTCTGCCATTGCCATAAGCAGATCGTTGTCAATTTCAATCCGCATGAAATGTCTTAACATACCCAACCCAGTCCTCTCTATATACGAAGACAGTCGATCATGCCAAGCAAGCAAGTTAGTTGTCCCTTTATGAATGACGGGAATAAGTGATTCGTACAAAAAATTAGAAAAAACATCGATTTGTTAGTTAAAAGAATGCAAAATAAAATCTTATAAAATAATGAAATAAAGTAAATTGTTGATAAGGTACGAAGTGTTTACCGGATTTTTGTCCCAAATTGGACGGGAGCGATGTGCTTCTTGATCGAATAAATACTTTGTATCGCTTGTCCCATAATGGATATACAATCGAGGATCGTATATCTCTGCACCCATCTATAAAAAAGTAATGAATTAAATTGTTTTAATTAAAAAAATCACAAAATCAAATTGTTTCGATTAAACAAAAATAACAAAAGAAAAACCAAGAACCTACTCGAAGAGCCTCTTCGTCCATTTTTTGGCGAAAGCCGGACAGAGGTTCGACGGGGTTTTAAGGGACGGGCTTTAGGGTATCCCTCTAGTAATTCTTTCTGATGTGGAAGAACGGACTTAGCCGCAACCACAAAGCATACTTAGAACGAGACTAGAGTGGATGAATGGAGGGAGAAAGAAGTGTAATATGGTGATGTGATTTGGAAGAGCGGGGGAAGGGTTCTATTTATAGGGGAAGGGAACTGGCGAAAATCAAGGCAAAGCCATCACCGCCATTGATAAAGGCATTGAATAACCCGCCTTTCTCGAAAATGGTGAACGGCGAAGATCGTTGACGTGGGAGGCTGTGAGGCGTCAGATCTGGGAGGAAAACCAAAATCTGCGCCTCACTGCATCCAACGGCAGCGGTGAAGCATCTGCGCGACGCGGATCGCTGATGTGGACAAACGCGGGGACGGTGAATTCCCCGCGTTTGTTCACGTTAACGATCCGCGTCGCTTTCACCGTAGTCGTCGGATGCGGGAACCAATCACCGCTTTTAATTAAAACGGCGAATACTTCACCGTTTTAATAAAACGCGGTGGTTGGTTCCCTGCACTTTCACCGTTTTACTCTGTTGTGGTGAAGTTTTCACCGTTTTACTCTGTTGCGGTGAAGCCTTCACCGTTTTATCAAAACGCGGTGATTTATTCACCGTGTTTGTTTAATGCGGTGATTGCTTTCACTTCCTTTGATAAAGGGGGTGAATGTGAAACATATGTAGATTTGGAATTTTTTTTATAACTTATGTATTTTGGGAATTTATTTTTAATTACTATTGTAATTTGGGATTTTTTCCAGAAATGTGTGCTCAGACCTTAGAGCTTCACTATGAAGCGGCCTACTATTTCGGTTTTCGTTATTCTTTTTTTCTCTTCTTTGAACTTCCTTGTCGATTTTGACACGACCCGATCCTTTTTGAAAACCAAACCGCAACACAAACCGAAAACCGGTTACTCCAAAGCAACCAACCACTTTTTAAAATAAACAAACTGACATTATTTAAGAATTTCAAATGAAAAGCCTCAACACTTGGGCAAAATTTCAATCTCAAACACTTAAAACAACTTCACACAAAATCTTGAACCCTGAATCTCCAGTACATAAACTCATAATCATGGACAAAATAATTAACTATTCTAACTTGACTCATCACGAGCTTTCTGATATCCCGTCAACGCTAATACTGCTGCTCGCCTTGCCCTGTTTCTTCTTGGGATCCACTTCTGCTAACCTATCCTCAACCTGGTGAGTGAGAAGGGGTCAGTCTCGTTGTTACTTCCTAAGGTCTTTGCCTAGGCGAACTCTCTACTAAACACGTTATTAGGGTTCATGAATTAGACAAAAGCCGTTCTCGCTTTCATCCTTTATACTTTGTTATAAAAAGTCTATAAGAGATCTCTACTCTTATCTTATCTTTAGAATTCCCTTACTTATATTCTTAATCCAATGACACCAACACAAGGGACCACCACGTTACGTCTCGTCGTCCGGTGTCCCTACCCTAGTATGCCAACCGCGTTACGTCTCGTCGTCCGGTTGCATACCCGAACTCGGCAATGGCACTGCGTTATGTCTCGCCGTCCAGTCCATGCCCATCAACTACTGCTTTACATCTCGCCGTCCAGTAGTGACCCAACCGCCTGGGGGTTCCTCATACCATCAATCCATACAACATCACATACATTCATACATAGCACAACGCGTACCTCCACCCTTACAGGCGGTGGGATGCCTCACACACATATCGCGCATACTAGAAAAAAATTAACTAAATAATAACTTGAACGAAAAGCGGAAACTAAAAGACCTACGACAGAGATTTTACCCCATTTACACTCACCTCATTTCCGTCAAGACTGACTCTGATCAATATGAACTCCTTACTCCTCACCAGCAATGTGCAGGAGAGTTCCACGTTGCTTGTACATATGCTTATGAACCTACGAATATTCCATAACCAATTACTTAGCCATCTTCTTAACTCTTAAAGTGATTCACGTGCATGTCCATTATCAATTTCTACCCATCCTACTTGTATTACAAGACTTCACTAAACCACCAACTCCATCTTCACCTATGTACTCCGAATTCCATGGCCAGATAGAGGAAGCTACTTTAATCCCAACCCATCACCAATTATCCAATTCCATCTGACCTAAGTCATGTTCAAGAACAAACGGAACTCATGCGTCCCATTCATTGCATGAGTTTACGTGGAGGTAATTACTAAGATTAGAGCCCTCAACTTGTACCATGCTTCCTTGATTTTGTTCCAAGTACACATATACATATAGATGAGCATCACGAGTCCTTTAGTTTAGCCTCGTATCTAATGACCCTATTTCCTCTTATCATTACACTAATTGGTGGCGATGAGTTCCACCCTACTGATCAACCCCAAATTAGATTATGATTCAAAATCAGCACTGTTATGCATGAAATCAATGAAGAAGAACGAGAGCTTACCCTTTATGGCATAGCCTATCTCCCGACGTGATTAGCTTGATGATTTTCTTGTATACTTATACACTCCGATCTTTTCCCCTCAATTCTTCTCTCGCCGCTCTATTCTTATCCCCTGCCGCCAGACGCCAGTAGTTCCCATCTCCTTTTTACTTCTTAGAGTGGAGACCCCATATAAGTATAACCCTAAGCTCAATTAGTCTAACCCCCAAAAGCCCCAATTATAACTAGCCTCATTTCTAGAGCATTTCAAACCTGCGGCCCATTTTTTATTAATGTGGCTCGGTTGTGTTTTACGTAGCTGGTCCTGGGTCTAGTCCTTGTATTTTATCACTGATCCAACTTATACATTTATTCGGTCCAACTGGAACCCAAAATTCGGGGTGTTACAGATTTACTGACTACCCGTATTTTATTACATGCAAGATCCTCCGAAAAAAATAGAAAGGGAAAAATTCTACATTCCAACCTTTGTATGTTTAGCTAGGGGTGGGCATACCGAATCGAATTTAAATCGAAACACAACCAAAGTTCAATTGTTCCGTTTGAAATTCGAAAGAAAAATTGGCTCAATTCGAAAACCACTTAACCAGGGTTCTTTCAACCGAACCGAGATTCTGAATTTCGAACAAAAAAACTAAAATATGTGGATTATGTCCAATGCTCACCTTAGCCCACCACTCAGAGTCCAAATGAGCCTAATTCCCTAAGCTCGAACACCAATCTCCCACAACCTAAACCTAATGGACTATTACACTTCTTCTCTTCTCGCTTTTGACATCCATCCACTTCCTCTTTTAATCTTTATTTATCTCAAAATCTTCCACCTAAAGGACTACTACACTTCATGTCTCTCTCGATTTTTGACAGCCAACTACTTCCTTCTTTCTTTTCATTCATCTCAAAATCTTCCACCTCAATGGACGCTCCTCTCTCGCCATTCCCCAATGCTTTATCGTCGACTCTCCTGTCGTCGTCAACTCTGTTTTCATATCTCTTCGTTGCTCACCGGAACCTATTGAAGTCACAAAAGCTCGAAAGTCAAATGCCTAAATCAATCGCCATCTCCCATCGCCGCATCACTAACTCTCTTCTAATCAGTTGGGTTTTCAATTGATTGAAAAATGAAGAAGGAAGTTGTGGGTTGCAAAAAAAAGAGATACAGAGAAAGGTACGAACCGACATATAATTCGGTTCGAAATCGATTTCATCTGTTTCGCTGTGGAAACACGTGTGTTTAATGCGCTCTATTCTCAAGGAAAAAAGAACACAAATCCAAAGAACTACTGTCAAATATCCACCGTCGGGCGTTAGGCGATGTTGATTTGATCGATGTACCTCTGAATTCTAAGCATGAATGATCGTTACTCGGTTCACACCTCTCCAAACAATGTTCGAACGAGGGTGTTCAACGAACACCGAGGAAACAAGGAGGATTTCTAAGTTATGTACCTCTACTCCTATGGAGGTTTCTCTAGAGAGCTTCGCGACTATGACTGTGACTACGTCTACGATCTATGACTCTGCAAAGGAGATCTTTGACAGAGTGGTTCTACGAACTAGAGAGAAAAAAGCATAGTTTGCGACTGTGCAATTTGTGATTTGATTTTGCCATCTTGGGCTTCTCTCTCCTCCTAATATTTATACCCCAATCTTTGTTCTGTAGTCGCAGTAACCGTCTGGCTCCCTCTTTCTCCCGTTTCCTCTCAACCGTGCGAGTAACTTCCACCTTGTTGCGTAACTCTCACGAGTGCGAAACCTCTTAGTCACCGGAAGTTGGCAAAAACGACATTGAGCCAAAATCCATAGTTCTCCACCACGGTTCGATCCTCATAAAACCTTGTCCATTGAATAAATAACAAAGTTTTTGACGCCTAAACAACGTTTCCCCTTAGTATCGCGACATTGTTTTTCTTGCACATTTGCTCATTCGTCAAACACGCCAATGTCTTAAACTAAACAATGTCGCTTCCTGTCCTCGCGGTGTTGTTAAACTTACTAGCAACTTCGCGGAGCTTGTAACACCATCATATGGTCTTACTGGGCTTACATGTATGACCCTTGACTCGCGATGTTGTTTTCTACCAAACAACATCGTTTCAAGTATTGCGGCGTCTTTGGATCTTTGTGATGCCGCCGCTCATGATAGGCTTGTCTCAAAACGTTGTTCTCCCCAAAACAAAATCGTTTTCTTTTTTCCTTAACCAACATCGTTGGACTTGGCGGCCCTTGCGCCAAGCTATTTTCCATTGTGATATTGTTTTTAATCAAACGACATCGCTCACCAATACCGCGACATTGTTGATACCTCACGCGATATCGTTTTGACCAATACCGCGACATTGTTGATACCTCACGCGATATCGTTTTCAACTAAACGAAATTGTTTCTTGATCTCCTCGTGGAGGTGGAATATGTGTCACAATGATGTTGGACTCCGCAGCGTTGCTAAACACATGCCGCTGTCGAGCTCTTGCCATCGTTGTTTTATTTTAATAAACAATGTTATTTTTAGTTCCACAACGGTGTTGTTACACAAAATCCTCTCATTCTTCGATAAAGAATAAAGAACACTCCTTTTCCAACTCCATTATCGATGTTACAAATCCGAATGAATTTGCGGCCCATGCCACATGACATTGTATTCTACTAAACAATGTCGTTTCAAGTACCGCGACGTCGTTGGGTTTACTCGCCGTGTCGTTTAACCCCCTATGTGACGTTGATTGTCTCTCAACATCGTCATTTTTATCACACGACATCGAATTAAATGCCGAGACTCATTAATGCGGCATTGAATTCAGACGAAAATAATTTTAGGTGTCAACATCATCATTGGAGGTAATTAGGATACCAATATGCTCTTATTCGACTAGGCCTACGTACCCGAATTGTCGGGATCAAAGTCTACGTAGTTCGTTCATTTTGAACTGTTTTGAAAGAGGAAACCTAACACACTCTATTGATCATGATCATTGTTTGAGATTGAGTTTTTGAGAAAATAATGGTGGTATTTTGATTTGGTAATCAGATGATAAATAAATTATTGATGAGTTTCACTATCATGATCTACTAATCTTGATTAGCGTATTAAGTTGTTAGATATACAAAAGAAAAGAAATGTGCATCAGATTTGTCAATTTTAAGTTAAGTAGCCCATTGGCAAAATGTGTTGACTGGGCTCGTTGCATAGCCGGGTGGTGCGGGCTCGAAGCCCACTAGAAAGTACTTTTTACATTTTTTATTTTTCGAAAGAGCAGAACACCCAATGGTCAGCGGGTTATTTTGGAAGGACGATGTTACACCCCATCTTTTTCTAAGCCGAAATGACCATTATGTCCTTGGTAATTTGTGAAATTCCACCGTAATGTCGAAGAGGACTAAAAATGTGTACTATCCGCTCAAGCGGTGTCGAATTTTGATATAAAATGAGAAAGCTACATACGTTAATCTAGTTTCGGATTAAACTCGACCGTGAAATTCCCAAAATGGACTACAACTATCTATACCCTAAATCCTAACCCACTGGGTCTCGCTACATGTTCACCCCTCCATATACATATAAATCACTAAACCTAGGATGTAGGTGAGCAGATAACTCCCCTTTCTTTTCCCTAATAATCACAACCATCGCCACCTCCCAGTTCCCATCTGGACCTCGCAGCAAGGCAGCAGGTGGGCACTCCTCCGCCATCGCCGCTCGACCCCTCTACTATGTCAGCTACCTTCTTAAGCAAGCAGGAGGCGGTTGACCACGTAGGATATAAAAGAATACACCTAGAGATACTTAGAATTAACTGTGACAACCGCAGAAAGGGTTAAATCGCTTCGTTTTCTATTTTGTGGACACCCCTCAATTATGTCAGCTGTCTGCTTAAGCAAGCAGGAGATCGAGAGCGGACGAGGGAAATTGAGACGTGAAAGCGGCCATGCGGGGTGGCTCATCAGCATCAATTTCCGTGTTCCCTACTATGAGACGTGGTTGCTCAAGCACGCAGGATGCGGGATGGGGAATAACGGGCAGGCGCGCGATAGGCTTTCGTTGAACGAGATCTGTGGCGTGTGAGACCTGCCTGGCAAACGAAATTGGATCAGCCGAGGAACTGGGACAAGTGGCACTTGGCAAACGAAAGGAAGCGAACAGTAGCTCCTGAAATCGTCTAAGCAAGCTGCTCTCTGTGGTTATTTGTACGTATGCAAGCAACTTGCAAATTGGCTCTCGACAAGCTAGCCGCTCAAGCAAAGTGGTCTACTAAATGGGCAAGCAACTGAACCTATCAGGCGAGGTCGGATGGCAAACGTGCAGGGAACAAAGAGACGTATAGATGGTGCTGTCTACTATGACAGCTGCTTGCTTGATAGAGCTGACCGCTGAAGCACGCAGGAGAAGCAGTTGAAAGGGTGAAGGTAGATGCGCTGGCGCTGTCGACTGCGAGACCTGCTTGCTTAATATAGCAGGAGGCGGGATAAGACAGTTGGATGGGAAGCTAGCGAGATGTGTGGATGCCAATTCCGGCAAGCACTTCGCTTTCTACTGCGAGACCTGGTTGCTTAAGAAGCATGATGACAATCGAATGGGAGTCAGTGTAGGGGAGGCTAGAAGTTTGCAAGCCCAGGGCAAAATCCAAAACGCGGCCCCTCTCCATAAATTCCATCGAGAAGCGTAAATTGAAGGCGTATGGTTTTGGGTAAGTTATCGAGACTACTCGCATTCAGTTATATTCATAAGAGGGATATCAGGTGAAATGGTTAAGTAAATATGTACGTATATGGGAGGTGCTTTAACATGGCTTGGGGGATTTGTTGTGGTTGATTTTTGGCGACCGAGACGAATGGAGTTGATCGGGGAGCATCGTCGTTTAAATGATAAGCTGTTCCATGACATCTTTTGGAGTACCTAGTTCATGAAGCCAATAGATTTTAGCTATATGGTCAGGTGAGTGTAAAGGGGGCAAATTCTACGCCTTACGGTATTTCAGTTTTTGAGATTGACCGCTATGTGCTATACTTGCCTTTGTGTTTTATTTGATGCATGTGATTGTGTGTAATTTATGTTTCCAGTTATACATATTATAATGCGTGCTTTATTTATAAGTAAGTTGAAGTTTAAGAACACGTTTTCTTTTAAGAAGTACTTCACCTTCAAGAAGGTGAAACCGTTTTAAGAGTTTTAGTCTCTAGTGCCAGTCCTTGCCATTTGAGATCTTTGAGATAGAGCAGCAATTATGCTCTTGAGAATTTTTAAGACGAGCAGCAGCTATGCTCGTGATATTTTTAAGATGAGCTTTAACATGGCT